GAAAAAATGATAGTCATGCCGGCCCAGCATCCTCAACATTGCAAAATGCCCCGGCACGAAGTGGTTAAATACTCTTACCCGAGACTAAACTTTGCTTGTGTTTGATTGAGTTATTGTCTTTAGTTTGTGTTCTTACCTGGCAGGTGTGGCCCCCATAAAGGGGTCTCTGTTACAGTTTTGGTGGCAGTGGTGGAATCAAATTTAGCCCATTAAAATCATTTTTATTCTTTTTCCTCTGTTTTTGTTTTTTTTTTTAGAATTTTTTTGAACCAAGATGAGTTCCGGGAGACAGTTGACTTGTCAGTTGGACCAAACTGTAGCTATGAACAGATTGGGGTAATTGAAGCTGAAAGTAAGAGATTGACTCGGCTAGTGTTGACGCAGCCCATGGGAGTTCAAGACCCCAGCCAAATGCCCTCCCCCAAACCTCTGGCACTCGTCCTTAATATGTACATAGTGCTCCTGATACTGAATTCAATGAATTGCAAAAGTCTTTATCAGTCTTTTTTCGTAAAAAAGGGTGAAGCCTTACCAGAGTTGGCAAGTGATATTCGTAGACTTGTATCCAAGGCACATCAGGATGTATCTGCTGTTTTGTGGAGCTGGGTAGTGATTATTTTATTGAGGCATTAGACTCCCCTGACATTAGAGTACAGGTTCATCTAGCCAAACTGAAGGACCTAGGGGCTGTTCTTACCGTAGCTTTAGAAGAGGAGGCCTCTTCCAGATTGAGTATAACAAAGCAAATTTTCTTCAGATGATAGGTGCTAATGCCTGTCAAGGCAAGTGTGCCGAATAACTAGTATCCCATAGCCAGGATGTGAGAGAGCTTCTAAGCACAAGATTGAACAGTTGGAACAGACAGTGAAGGAGCTTCAGATAGCCTTTAAGCAGTTTAAGGCTAACAAACCTAAAGGACCTTTAATTTGTTGGAATTGTAAACATGAAGGGCATAGGCATTTTCAGTGGCTATATACACAGTCAGAAGTAGTGCAGGGTGAAAATAGTTTGACACCTAAGGAAAACCCAGTTTGGCTGAGCATGGGGTCGGTGCCCAGCTAGTAGTGAATGTTCAGTCTCAGAATACCATCTTTGTTAACCGTATGCTACCGGGTTTTTTAAAAAGTGCAGCACCAACATACGGGCAATTTTCAAGAATTTCCATTTACAAAATTCTTCAAAAAATTCATAATTTCATTTAATGGATGTTTACACCCACACAAATGACTGTCTGGTGTCTACTCTAATCTGACACGCAACCTCCATTGACACCCAAGTATTTCAGTCAGGCCTGCCACCCTGTGAAGAGAGCCCAGAATTGTGAGGTGTTATGTAATTTCCTTTGTTCCCAGTGAATGCTAGTGGCATCTTTTCAAACATGCAGCGGTACTGTATCACTCATCAATCGGGAGCTGGAGCTGTGCCAAAATAGTGGTATACTGTTTCAAAACAATGACAGATTTCCTCTGATAAATGCAAGCTGAAAAATGATGGCAATTCCCAGCAGCAGGTCTTTTGTTCTGAGTATGGTCCTTTTGTTACAAGGCCCAGCTCTTTTGTCCAATTTGGGGCACCCCAGCTATGCATACAAACCCTGCGATTATGATGAAATCTCCTGAAAACTGAACATGCATTTCACACTAAATTTTGACCACAGTGCCATTGAAACAGTGATGGAGTGTAACAAAGTACCATCCAAACGCATCTTGATATTAATTTTAAAAATGAGTGATTTTATTTTTTGCCCCTTGTTTTATCTTATTTTTTTCACTTCATATTTTGTGGCATACATATATTACAACACTCAAAAAATTATTATAATGAGTAAATTCTTATGAAACTGATTCCTGTTCAGAGGGTTATTAAAGGTTATCCCTCTTTCCAAATGTGAGGAGATCTTGACTGATAGAATTTGAAATTTTGATGCTCATTTTCACTTTGTAATGGAATTTCCCATATCTTACAGATTGGTTATTTCCTGTTTTATGTAATTCAATTGACATCTGAACTTAGTGTTCCTGAAGCTGCACTAGGGTGAGTTCTTAAAGCAAGCTTATCTTTCCCTTTACAGGCCTGTGCTGCCATAGTAAACCACAGACCTCACCAAAGACAACCTTGTCGATCACCTGAGCTGGTAAGAGGACAGCATTACTTTCCTTAAAAAGCCGTCTTTACGTGTTCACATGTATTACCTTGGAAATCTTGTTACAGTGTTTACATTTAATGGTAGCCATAAAATGGATTTCAAACAAAAATGTATGGTGCTCAAATCCATATCTCTGAACTCTGCAAAAACAGGACACATGTTTTTGTTTCAATTATTTTAAAGCAATAATCGTGAAATTGGACAAGGCAGTTGACTGGACCATGATTTGAATTCACAGCCCCCAGATCTCCTTCCTTGTGCTTTACCAATGGAGCCATCCGATCTGTTATTGGTTCTGCCCAATTTGCCATTATAATTGTCAAAGAGTGCTAATCAGAAGCCTTAAGGTTGTATAGTGTTTAGTTAAGGATAATGTCCAAAGTAATAATACAAGCAACATTAGCAGTCTTGCAAGTACATGTATGAGATCATTCAGAAAATGCAGTTTTTGCACACAAATCATAAGTCTGATCCCTAGTAACAAGCTTCTCATCTGAACCTTTCCTTTCTCCTTGCAGCTAGCCAAATACTGTGACACATTACTGAAGAAAAGTGCTAAAGGAGTTAGTGAGTCTGAAATTGATGACAAGTTACAACAATCTATCTTAGTCTTTAGATACATCGATGATAAGGATGTCTTCCAACGGGTAAGTCAGCATTGAACAATGCTAGTACATAGGAACACTTAAGGGTTGTTATACATGTAGGTTCTGATGTGGGACATTTTTAAACCTCAGAATGCACATGTATGGCACATGAGACAAAGCTAAGTTGTACCTCTGTCTTGGATACTGTCTATATTGGCCCAGAACGATCACATGACAGTGCGATATATCCGCATATCACACTCACTGTGAGATATCTCAGAGGAGCTTCGGGAAGTTTGAAAGCAAACATTTCCACTCCTTTCGTCAGTTTTGCTCGGTACCAATGATACATTTTAGGCATAGGCTACAAGGGAATTCGATCAATGATCACGCTCGTTTAACAGACTCATTCCCGTCCCTGCAGGGTATAAAGTAATGTGGGGAAGTTTAACCAGACTACATGTACACACTGGTACTCCCACTAGTTTCACATGAACGTTTACGCAGTTTAAAAAGTGAGGGAGCAGTGCATTTGCAGACGGTATCTTTTACGTCTGTTAGGTTAATTTTACAGTTTGACAGCAGGCCTATCATTTTCTGAAATTCAGAGTTTGTTTCTTTGGATAAATTCCTTAAGACAGAGGTATAACAAAACATTTGTTGGCCACTTTGGTGTGGGATATGATGTTATGAACACCCTCGGGTGTGCATAGCTCCCTCGGCTTCACCTTGGGGCGCTATGCGTCCCTCGGGTGTTCAAAATGCCATCCCACACCACAGCAGTCAACAATTGTTAAATATAGGTTATAGTGTATGCAGGAGGTAAAACATACACAAGTGAATACTGTCTTTTTCATGTTTAAAAGTTAGACTTTTGATTGTTACATTGAAATACATGTAATAGCAACTCAAAATGATACAATTAATGGTGCTGAATAATAAATGGTAGTATTGAACTACAATGGTCACTGCAGAATATGGCTGTGTGCCTAAACCAGAAGAGGTAACAACGACTTCACTTGAAGCAACACAGTGCTGGATGCTCTCTGCAATTTGTGTATGATTTTTGCCCCTGCTTCTCCATTTGTCATCAGTGAGGGAAACGTGTATTCATACAATCAATTGAAATCAATCTTGTCAATCAATTAAGTGTACTGTGTTGACAATGTCACTGTACATGATTGCTCCTCTGGCCTATGACAACATTTTGTGGTTTTGAATACAGAAAATGGCTCTTTATCACAATTGACCAGTCATCATTTCAAACCCTCTTGACCAGATAGGAAGATGTTTATACTCAGTTGTGTCAGCCAGATCAGTTCAGTAGCTTTTGGATTTATTTATAAAGATTTTCATGGTTTGAATCCTCTAAAAAGAGTATTTTCAGAGTATGTTTATTATGACATGTCTAGCTTTTTCTGGTTAGTGTATATTTGGAAGATTTCTTTATCTCAGAACCGTTAAAAGAATTTGAGTCAGCTGGTAATCAGCAGACTTGTATTTAAGTCATGAAATATTGAGTCTGAGTCTGAATCCCTATTCATCCATGTCGAGTCGGAGTCCAAGTCACAAAGGTCAAGTCCGAGTTAGGAGTCATCTTTATTATTGTATTGGTAAAACATTTTCCTGTCCTGCAAATGTTTCATTTCTGCAAATTTTTCATTTCCAGAAATTAAACATTTTTCACTGCTTTTCTCCCCTGCAGAATTTGCATTCTGTGCTTGATCTTCCATTTGCATTTCTCTTGAAATTGATAAACCCAAAATTGACTACTTTTGGAATGGATACCATGAGCAAACTTCCTGCTTTCACATACACATAAACTGTACTGATGCCAGATCGTCAGACCCATTACCAGCTGCAACTGAGATTCTTTGAACAGCAATACAGGCTATTCAAATCTTTTATTGGCAGGGCACCAGTCTGCATCTGACAAGAATAGTCATTGTGCATTAATCACTTCGCGCTGGGTTAATTAAAAATGTTAATGATGCTGGGCTGGATAATTATCATTTTTTCTGTTTTCAGAATATTCTTTAAAGTTTCATCATTTCATTTAACAAACATTTATACCCATAGGCAGTAATCTTTAGGCACTACACTAAATTGACAGCTGACCTTCAATGATGCCGGAGTATTTCAGCCAGGCCTGCAGCCTATAAAAAGAGCCCAGATTATGTGTTGTTATGTAAGATTCTTTTGTTCCAGAAACCGGAACAGTGCACTATGGATCTCTATTCAATAGGGACCAGATTAGCGTGCAGCGGTGTTGTGTGGCTCATCACTGCGGTGGTGAAGAGCTTTTGTCCCCGGTGATAATCCGCTCGCTCTAAATGCCCAAACTGTGGTATATGGTTTCAAAACAAGGCTGGATTATTTCCACTATTGAGAGTGAAAAATGCCGGTAATTCCCAGCAGCCTGGTCTTTTGTGTCAAGCATGGTCTTTTGTTACAAATCCCAACTCTTTTGTCCGGTTTCGGGCTCCCCAGCTTCGTGTATAAAGCCTAGGTGCTCAAAAACGGGTCACCCAGCAGGAAGTAGTTAAAGCACTGTCAAGTTTGGACAGGGTACATGTTTCGGTACATTGATGTCCCCAGTCAAAATATTGGCACACATACGTGCACCGCAGTAGCCACATCACGTACTGTGTTGCTCAGTGGAAAAAACAACATAACGATGTAATTTCTGCCAAGTCACAAGTTATGCAGGTCGAGTCCAAGTCCGCAGCCTCGAGTCTGAGTCATTTGTCAAAGCGATTCGAATCCGAGTCACTAAAAAGTGACTCAAGTCGGACTTGAGTCTGAGTCATAAGTCATACAAGTCTGGTAAATCAGTTGAACTTTGACACGGCTGCAAACTGAGGACAGAAATGGAAACAGAGCTTGATGCTAACTAAGAACCATGCTATAAATCAAATTAGAGGGGATACCAGGGGCGTAGGAAATTGTATTTTTCATAAATCCTAGGAGAAAATTCTAATTTGCCGTAATAATGTATTTATTTATAGGATCCAGATTCCATCAAAATAAAACCAAACACACATTACACACTGAACGTAAAGTCTACCCATAAACATACAATAAATATATCTCTCATAGATGCTTAAATAAACAGCATTAAGGCTGGTTCAAGCTTCAGGCAAATGCAAAAGCAAAGGAATTTGACGTCAGCACATAGTTGCAGTTAAGTTTGAGATGAAATGTGTTGGAGCACTTTGCAGCACAAATATTTTACATGATGTCACCTTTTCTTGTTCATGTTCACTTTCGTGCCTAGTATGAACCGGCTTTCAAGGGGAAAAATTCAGGAATTGACACGTTTTGTTTCATTTTCTGGCAGTTTTATGCCCGCATGTTAGCCAAAAGATTGATTCATGGTTTGTCGACATCAATGGATGCTGAAGAATCCATGATCAACAAATTAAAGGTATGATTTGATAACATTGTTATAATACTCTCATTTTGTGTGTTTTTATCATGTAGAAATTATTTGTTTTGTTAGGAATGCATGTATATTTGAAAATCAAATACAGTGGAACATCACTATAATGAACACAATTTTTGGTATTTTGGTTGGTGAGTATAGTGATTTCAGTCACGGGTGCATGCACCTGTTCCAAACTCTGGTCCATATTCAAATGTCTGGGGGCCTGCCCCAGAAAATGGTTTTGTATGAGGACTTTTGGCCTACACTTACATTTACATACAAAAACAGGTAAAAAATCTAAAATCTTAAAAAAAAAGAAATTCCTTCCTGTAGTAAATGTAAGTTCATCTCTTTTTATGTTTTACCTAATGGTTAGTTCCCATTGGAAATGACTTGGAGGCGCATACGTGTCAAAGTGTTGGGCAAGCATTTTTGAAAATGATTGAAACTAACAAGACATTTATCGAAGATTTGTGGGAGTTACAGATACTTTGGTCACTCTGCATTTTTATTTTTTGGGGGGCTGATTTTTGAGATCAGTTCTCTCAGCAATGATGCGACTATCAGGCAAAGTTTTCCAAACCAGACACTTGTGTCAGGTACTCGGCAGCCTGTCTACATGGCCCGTGCGCAAATTCGCTTTACACGAATTGTATGTGTACATTGCATGTAAAGTGTGTATGTGCCTACACATCCATAATTGATACAGACTGCACCACTTGTCCATTGTTCCATTGTGAGTGGGATTTTTCCCAACTTTGAGTTATTATAATTAGTTCTGAATGTGCTTCTTTTATTTAAAACAAATTTCTAATTTTTGGAAGAAGTGCACAGAAAATGGAGGATCCAAGGAAGATATTTGTCGTACCCAACGTCTGGTGTAGCGATGTGCCATTCCACTGTATATTACTTCTCCAAAAGCTCAACTATGGAGTTCTTTTTCATAGTACATCACTAAAAAAAGCCGTGAAAATTTGTAACTTCATGCATGTTGGATATTTATCTACAGTACAATGTATAGGTGTGAAATTTATGCTCATTTCTGCAGATTTCCATGGATTTTGAAATTTGCGAAGACCCATCAGTTATATGTGGATAGCACAGATAAAGCCCCTCAAGTTTCTTTATTTCCAAAATGTAATCCTTGAAAAGAGATTAAATGGCCCAACAATACATTTACAAGCAAAAATTAGGGTTAGTGACATTAAGTTGGCTTGTTAACATAATTCACTGCTGTGGTACTGGCTGCTGCATTGGTTTAGGGCCAACCACCCAATACCAGTGAACTTGGAGTCAAATGATTAAGACATTTGCATAGGTCCTTTTGGCTAAAATACACCCACAATCCTTAAAAAGTCCAGTTCCCTCTAACAGTGTAATAGTAGCTCGTAAGGTGTTGCTGGGAGGTGTTAATGGGGAGGGGTGAAGGTTCATACATGTAAATGTGTGAGAGAAAACAAGGTCACAATTGAGTTCACATACAAAACAGCAAACAGCAAGTTATGTTGGACATGCAGTAGTATATTAATCATTACCTTTTGGGATGGGACCAGGGTAAGGGTTGGAGGATGATGGGTGATTGGATCAATGATAAAGTTGGACAGTTTCATTACACAATGAAATTTGAGCTAAGAGCCCCAAACAGTGCAGTAATGGGGGTGCTTGTGTTAACCAGTTAAGTTAAGATTTTCTCACCTGCTGGGGCATTTTTTTCACTTGCAAATTCTTCAACCCTGCAATTGCACTTTGACCCAACCAAGCACAATGCATTAATACATCATCCGCGGAAATGAAAAAAGAATTCTTGAACGAGTGTACACGTCCTCCTTGAATCAAATAAGGAAGTTGTGTGTGTGTTTACACACCATCCAGCGTCAAATGGTAAAATGACTAATAAGAAGCCTGGCAACAAACAGTACACATACAAGTACAACATGTAATGGAACTTGAAGTGCCCACCGTTTGACATTGACAGTGTCTATTTACTACTATATGTACTTGTAATATACTGTAAAATATACATGCACAAGTGTCCCATGGGGACATGTAAAGTACTCACCTTGACTATTAGACCAGAAGCATCCACACATATGTATATGCCCTCAGTCCTCTAAAATCCTCCACATGTTTATGGGCCATGCAAACCTCAATCCTCCAATATCATTTACAATGTACCCTCAGTCCTTACAATCCTCCAGTATTTCACACAACATGCAACCTAAATCCTCCAAAACACCCAGAGGATTTTACTGGACTGAGGATGGTTCGGGCTAGTAAGCAGGAAGTCATGAGTTTGAATCTCATCCAAGCCAACTTGTAATTTTGTGTGCAACCCCGTTGAGAATACATTGTGACTAAGTAGAAGGGCAAAACCTACGATAAAAAGTATGGATGTCATCATGAATTAACAAAGTTAAATTCTTTCAATTAAACCTTAAAGGGTGTAAACTTGGTGAATCTAGGGATCAGTGAGTACCTCTGTCTCAAAAGTGTGTCAGCACGATCTGGCTGGGGACATTTAAGATAGACAGCACTAAAACACAAAAACTTGATGACACAAAGGTTCTTTTTGCTATCATATTTTATTTATTATTCACCTTTTAATATGACTTTCTGATCTTACCCCTCTTGCAAAGACCTTTCTCGGTGGACTCGTCTCTTCTCTCCAAACAATGTTAATGTCAGTCATATCTCATCTCATGGTATCTTTTCATGGGGTCATTTGAAGAAAAACATATACACATGGAGCACCTCAACCATTAACATCTAGGGATTATATTTCACGGGATTTAGCAATCAATATTTTTATCAGCACCAAGTTGAAAAGTTTGAGTTAATTTGCCATCTAGGAATAGAAAATGACTATAGAAGATGAAAGACATGCTGCATTTTAACAAGGACCAACCTGGCAGGATGAATTACAGCTTGCTACATACTTTTGTTCCAAGTTTGTTAGGAATGCCTTGCTATTGGAAAACTTCGGAGGTGCTTTTGACTTATGAGGTCTCATGTGACCAGCTGGGTATTGTTTCCATGGTTCTGAGCATGCCCATAAATTAGCTCAAATTTGATGCAAACAAGTGAAAGAGACTGATATACATGTAAGTGCATTAACCCTCAAAATTTTTCTATTCAAGTTCAAATATTCAAGTATTGAGTGCCATACAGATGTATCTTTTAGTGTTGCGCAGACCCAGCTTCTAATACATGTTTTGTTGGCTGTTTTTCATTGCAGCAAGCATTTGGCTACGAGTTCACAAACAAGCTTCACAGGATGTTTACAGACATAGGAATTAGTGAGGGACTCAATGGCAATTTCAACACATTTTGCCAGACCAAGCAAGTGGATCTTGGTGTCAACTTTTCTATTTATGTCTTAACAGTAAGTCTTTTTTTTTTTAACTCCAATTTAAATCTTGTCTTCTGCAGAGTACTTTGTACCATTTCAAAATTTGGCACAACTGTGGCATTGTGTTTGAAACCATGCTGCTGATCTTCGGTTTCTTGTGATTTGTGCAATAGAGTTTATGCATTAACACGTTCTCAAGGGGATGGAGGTCTGTATCACTCCGATAGGCTCGAATAACCTTTTTGTGCATTTGTTGTAATGAATAAAAATAACAAAAACAGCCTCTGAGACACCATGGAGATGCCAGCAAAACCTCTATTTGGTTATTGAAGCTTTGCATGGTGGGAGTTGCATGAGATGTAGGCTTGCAGGTAAACCATGGAATCAATCTCTTTTGGAAGGGGGGGGTGTGATCCCTGGCTATGTGGTGTTTCAGGTTTAATAGATTCTGGCTAGCGCCCCCCGAACAGAGATATTGACAATTGGGAAGAGCCACCAACATAGGGCTGGGTAGCTCATTTGGTAGAGCACTGGTCCGTTATTCCAGAGGCCGCTGGTTCAAATCCTGCTCCAGTCAATTTCTTTGTTCATCTTTATAATCATTCGTAAGCACCTAGTCAGTTTCCCTGTACAATTTGTTTCATGATTTATGTTCAAAGAGCCGTATCCTCTTTGAGTGATCCTTGTTCACCACGCCCCAGGTTGTATCTTGTAATTGGGGTGTGATCTCTGACTGTATGGTGTTTCAGGTTTAATGGCTTCTGGTTAGCACCCTTCTCCCCCCAACAAGATTGGCTGGTTGTGTAACTGTTGCTGTACACTGGGGCATGAAGGTGTTGGATTCTGTGGTGGTGTGGGGAGAAAAAAAATATCAAAAGCCTTACTTGTGGTCCCGACATCTTTACTTTTATTTCATGGTGTTGTTCTCTCAGGGTTTTCGATGACTATATTTGATAAATAAATAAACCGATTATTTTCTTTACTGTGAAGTAGTCTGTTTGAAAAACCAAAAAAATCCATGGGGGAACTGCCCCTATGTGCCACTGCTCTAGTGGCCTGTTATCTCATTCACAGTTAGTACTTATATTGGTCAATTTGTCCAACTGAACACTTTTTTGTGAAGATAATTTTAGTAAGATGAAATGCATTGCTGTGCAGTAAAATCTATTTTACTCTGTTCTCTTGCATTCATGAAATCTATGGCCGTGGTATAACAAAATGATTGTTGCCTGTTGTGATGGGGGTCTATGGGTTTTGTATACCCTTGGGGCAAATGGCACTCTTGGCTTTGCCTCAGCTGCCATTTGTCCCCTTGGGTATACAAAACACCATGGACCCCTACACTGCAGGCAAAAATTATATAAAGATACATTAATAATGTCTTATTAAATTCACCCCTTTGATAGATTTGTTAATCTAAAAATAAATTGAGCAGCCTCAACTTGCATGTATCTGCATTCAGTGCCCCGAACCAGACAGAAACCTTAGCTTTCCAGATCCGAGATTCCTCATTGGAAAGTCAGAATTAAATAGCGAAGGCACCACCCTGGTGTGCATTTGATGCACTGGTGAATAACTCTTGTTAAATATCGTGCATATCATTCTTGTGTGTAGGATTTGTCATTATGATTATTTGGACTAAATGCTGGGTGTTTTGTTGTAGATGAGTGTACAATTTGGCTTTGGTTATCCTGTCCGGTCCCCCAGCTTATTATGAATTTCACTTGATTGTTTCAGACGGGGTCCTGGCCTTTGGGGCAATCATCACTCACACCATTTGCAATACCGCAGGAGCTGGAACAAAGTGTTAGCAAGGTAGGCTGTAGCGATTTATGTGGAACTTGTGTGTAGGATTTGACATTCCTTGTTGAATCATGCATGTCGTACAGTAAACAAGGACTTGAAAAAGGTATAAGCTGTGCACAGGAGTTGGTAGTGTATATTCAGTATTACAAAATTTTATGTCTACTGCCTGCAACCTTCGCAGATTATCAATACAAATGCATTATTTCCTAGTCCATTAATCCATTCGATAAATTTTCGATCACCCGGCAGTGCGCCCTCACTCGCTTGACTCCATGGAAGTGGCCGCCATGATCTTCCTCTTTTTCTTAGTGCCATTACCAACAGATTTGTTATTGTCTGGCTCTGATATTTTTGAGAGATTTTTCCTTCACTAAGCTTTCTTTTGGTGTCATTTCTTGATCATCCATTTATTCTTTCTACCCTGGTTATTCTCGTTCTCGTCCAGTATATACAGCTAGAGTTATCCCAACCCCCCTCCGTGTAGCACACCATGCAGCTTTGTGTAGCTGACAGTCTTTCTTTGCTGCATTGCCCGTGTATAACGGGCAGTCCTTTGTCTGGACTAACTGGATCTGGTATAGAAGGGCATTTTAACCTGGTGTTTTGCTCTCTGCCTTTTCGTCGGCCTTCTGCTATGGCTTCTTGCCCAGGCTCAATGTCCAGAAAATCGGCGGGCCTTGCCCTTCTCTTGTCCAGCCCGTGGCTCGTCTCCAAACATGACAGCCAGGACTGACTCCACAGTGGCCTCCCCAGTCCGTTCTTTCACTGGGGCCCCTGAACCAATGAGCCTGCTTCAGTGCCGGGGCCTTCAGCTTCCCGCTATTTTAGACCCGCTTCATACGGTCACTTCACCCTTTCGCTTTTCCGACGATGTTTGGGTTCCCCAGTCGTTCTTTTCCTCAGCCACCTGGGTCAGGGGTTTCCTTGGGAAAGAAGCGCAACTTGACTGAGTGTTCCTCTTCCTTTAACCGATCTTCCCAAAAGAAGACAACTAAGCACTAGAAAGGCACTGGCTCACCCTCTACAAAGGAAACACTACGTTCTCTTTCCGAATCTCTATCAGAACTGGTTGATGCTACCCTCCTCCTCCTCCAGCCCCTACCCACCAAAATCCGGAGCCTTATTCTCCACCTGCGACATGTTCCAGAGAATCTTCTGCTGGGCACCAGGACTTTCTGCTCTCTTCCAGGCTGTCTCAGCCTGCATTTGCTGAGAGCAATTCCCTTGATCCTCCTACTGGTCCTGATCCATACTTGTGTATCTCTGATTTGGATCAGTCACCTGATGAGGATGAGCCACTTTCACTTCCCCAATCGGGACCTCCAACATATGGAGGTGGCTCTCAAGAGTATTGACCTGGCTGCCTGAACGGGTATTCACTACATGTCCTTTCTCCTCCTTACTGAATTCTTATCTCTTATCTTTCGCCTATGAGAAGGATTCAGATATTTCCCCGAGTTTGTCACAATGGCTTTCCATTGTCTTGGTGACTCCTTGATCACAGGCCTTGAGCAGTTTGCCCGTGTTTCTCTCCACACTATGGCGTCTCGCAGGGAATCAGCTATTCAAGTCTTAAATATTCCCATGAGTCAGTTACACTCTCAATTGACCATCTCCGTTGTTCTGACATCCTTATCTTTCATTACGTCGACAACTGGCTGATCACTGGTTGTACCAGAGTCGAGACTATTACAGCAACCATGGCTGTGTACACTCTCACGACCTCACTTTTCTAATCAATCACGACTAATCCAAGTGGACCCCGTCGCAGATGCCTACTTTCCTCAGGGCTGTCGTCGATCCTCAACACGGCAGAAGTTACTCATGTGGATGCCTGCGTAGGCAATCTGATACAGTACGTTGCCCTGTTTCGGGGCCACCAGCAGGTGAGCGCTCGGGCATGGCTCCACCTCCTCAGACTGATTGCCAGCCTTGCCGACCTCGTTCCTTTATGCCGACTCCATGTGTGACCCCTTCAGCTTCACCTCCAATCCCACTTCAAGCCGAGCACGGACTCCCTCGACCTCCACGTTCCAATGTCTGCTTTCGTGTGCCATCATCTGGTCAGGGGGTCTTCCAAAGCCAATCTCACTGTGGGCCCCCGCTTTCATCCCTCCTCGTCACAACATAGGAGTCAGGACGGACACTTCAAACTTCAGCTGGAGGGCAAGCCTTCCTCCATAATGGGTCTCCGGTCAGTGGAAACTTTCCTTCCAGGACTCTCACATCAATATTCTTGAGCTCCAGGGATCTTCGAAGCTCTCCTTCATTTTCAGTTGATGCTAATAGGCTGTTTCCTACATGAACGGCCAAGGGGGCATACCTCCTTGCCTGGTGACTGCTTCAGTGGCCCATTCTGGTTCTAGCAGAACACATCCCCGGGATACACAGCAACCTTGCCAATGCCTTCTCCCAAAGCATGGTTCACCCAACAGAACGGACACTTCAGCCAGAGGTGATTCAGGCTCTCTCCTTTGTGAATGACGGGCCTCACGTGGACCTCTTTGCATCTCACTTGAACGCTCAACTTCCCACGTTATGCACTTGGTTTCCTCACCCACAAGCCAGGGCAACCGATGCACTGCCAATCTCCTGGGAGGGTCTCCTGGCTTACACCTTTCCTCCTCTATCACTCGTCCTGGTGGTGCTGGCCAATGATTCTTTGAGCAGACAGGCTCAAGACGCTGCCGCCTTGGCTGCCAGAGGTAGACAACTGCCCACGAGGAAAATCTACAACAGCGGAATTTGACATTTCAACTCTTGGTGCAGAGGGCATGCTATGGATCCGACCGAGGAGCCTCTTTCCTTTGTGACAGACTTCTTTATTATATTTATATAATATGCACATCTTCCATTCTGGCCTCATTGTTTCTACAATCAAGAACTAAGTCACGGCACTGGTGACTATCCACAGCAGCTTTCCGGGATAGATCTTCTATTTCTGATTAACTCAGCGATCCATCACCTCCTTAGGGGAATGTTTATAGAACATAGAACGCCCTCCAACCAAGTGGCTCGTTCGCTTGTGGTGCCTGAATGATGTCCTCCGGCTTTTGGAGGGCCCTCTATTTGAACATGTGGGCCTGCCTCTCTACTACACTTAAGTATCAAACTCACTTTTCTTCTGGCTCTTGTTATCGTGCGGAGGGGCTGTGAGATCTAGGCCCTATCCACTGCTGATGATCACATTTGATAGGAGCCACTTGGATTACGCCTGTTTCTGAAGATTGGTTTCCTCACCAAGAACCAGTCTCTCTCTTTTCAGCCCCCAGACATCTTTGTTCTGGTAATTCAGTTGTTGGCAACGTTATCCTCTGACAGACTCTGGTGCCCTGTCTAGATGCTTAAATGGTATCTCAACCGGATAAAGGACATCCAGGGGCCAGTCTCACAGCTACTCATCACCACTACCAGACCTTATCGTCCAGCCTCAAAGATGCAATTGCAAGGTGGGTGGTTTCAAAATTTGCTAGCTCTGAGTGGCGTATTATCCTGATCATCAATGTGGACGCCTTTTCCATGCCCATCACATCTGGGCCGTTTCATCTTCCTGGGCTTATTTCGACAGGGTTCCTATTATGGACATTTGTAAAGCTGCATGTTAGAAATCCCCCTCAACACTGACTTCTTGTTATCTCAGTGACATTTTGCAGGGGGGCCACTCTCACATGTCCACTGCCGGCCGTCCTCAACCCCTGCAGAAAAATACACTCAAGCAAGCCATGTGGTGAGTCTGGGTTACATCCATCCTCTTATCTAGTTATGTGTTTATTTGTGATTGATTACATCACCCCCTGTGTGTCTTTATTTGTGTCCCGCTTACTTTGATCCCTTCCTTACCTTGCTCCTGGTTGGGGCTAGGGTGCTGGCAGGGCATCCTCACCTCCCCACCTAAAGCTGCAGTGCTACTCTACATGTGTATGGGTCATCTGCGTAGAATGCAGGCAATAGACTCTCCCCCCACCTAGAGTGGGTTGAGTCTACTACTGCATACCTACCAGATTATCAACCTCCCCACTCAGCCTCTGCAAACTCATCACTTCAAAAAATAGGAAGATCATGGTGACTGCTTCCACGGGAGTCGAGGGAGGGCGCACTGCCAGGTGATCGAGAATTTAGTGAATGGAGGACTGGACTAGGAAATAATGCTTACATATTGGTAATCTGGTAGATATGCAGTACTAAACTCAACCCACTCCTCCATGTAGCCAACAAACAAACAGGATGGTTTGGCTGCACTTAAACACTATCTAGATCTCTGCCAGACTCAGGGTCCTCCCACCAGCACTCTGCTCTGTCTGGCTTAATTGGTGCACATGTTGAACAACTTTGAGTTCAACAGTGAGCATTACATTCAGACCAGTGGTGTGGCTATGGGCACACAGATGGGACCATGTTTGTTGGCTACATCGAGGAGCAGATGCTGACCCAGTATCGGGGCCTCCGGCCGTTAATGTACCGGCGATACATCAATGATATTGTTGGTGCCTGTCGGTTATCTGCTCCCCCCCCCCCGTGGTAGCTACAGAATACACAGGGGTCATACATGCATTAGAAGTAATGTGCTTTAAGTCGTCACTGCGGCAAACTGTACATCAGAGAGACCAAGTGTCACCTTCACAGAACTGCTTCACGGAACACTTGCGCAGTTTATGCCAACGAACACCCGGTCTCACTGTTGCGCAGCACTTTTTAGTGCTGCCACATACTCTCAGTGACATAAGCATCTGCATCCTGCAGAAAGCATCATCTGACGTACAGCATAAGGACTGTTCAGAACTGACTCTGCTTGCCCTGACGAAGGTACCCAGTTACCGAAAAACTCAGCAATTACACAGTTCAGAGCTTTGATAATATTTTTTAAGTTTGTCTGTAAATTATGCATGATTGAAATAAATCCATGAGAACAGATGCATACAGTGTATGTAAACGTTTTGTGTAATAAACATGAAAATTTACTAACCTGTCATGATACACATACTAATCATTAGGGTTGTAGTTGCAATCAAATCAAATCTTGATTTCCCGAGCTTCCTCGCTATCCAGTCATGGTTGTTACATTAACTTTAAAATGAAGTACATACAGCATTTTGGCAAATGGTGTCAGTGACCAAATCTCTGTTTTCTTCTGTTCACCACCCGCTCATAGTTTCATCATATTGTAAAATGTGCATAAAAAAGATAATGGTCCAATGGGTGCATTGCTCTGATCAATTACAGCGATAGCTTGAGCATATCTGACCAGGTCTTGTAGAAATAATTGGAATGAAAATTAATTAAATTATGTTGGATTTTAGAATTGTCTGGTGTATCTTTCCACTCTGCCTTTTGGGAATTCCCTCCACTGTTAAACTGAACCTGGTTGAAATAAGAACTTTATCAAAACACTCTAGACTAATGCCGCACACTTTTGTTCTTCTTTTTGTATATATTCAAAAGTTCCATTTTTCTTAATTTCCTCGGTTCCCTGGTGTTGATGGTGCTTTGATTGAAATAAACATTTTGTATGGTGTTCCTTTTGCTGACTATGTTTCATTTTAACCACTTCCTGCCGGGCGACCCGTTTTCGAGTACACAGGCTTTATATGCAGAGCTGGGAGCCCAGAACTGGGACAAAAGAATTCGGCCTTATAACAAAAGACCGTGCTCAGCACAAAAGATTGATCTGCTGGGCATTACCATCGTTTTTTCACTCTTAATAGTGGAGAAAATCCAGCCTTGTTTTGAAACAGTATACCACGGTTTGAGGCATTTAGAGCAAGCAGATTACCACCGGGGACAAAAGCTCTCAACCACCACAGCGATGAGCCACACAGCACCGCTGCACGCCAATCTGGCCCCTATTGAAAAGAGGTCAGCAGTGCACAGTGCCGGTTTCGGGAACAACAGAATCTTGTGTAACACCGCACAATCTGGGCTCTTTTTCCGAGGCTGCAGGCCTGGCTGAAATATTCAGTGCCAAAAGAGTCCTTCATTTTGGTATAAACGGCCATTAAATGAAATGATGAATTTTTGAAGAACTTTGAAAACAGAAAATCTTGAAAATGAGCCGGCATCTTGTCTTGCTCAAGAAAAATCCACCCGGCAGCAAGTGGTTAATAGGCCCTTGTTTTCCTGTGCATTTTGGTATTTCTGGCCATCACCAGTGCTAATCAAGCAGCTGTTCACAAATGACTTGGTTGTACATATGATGGTCTATCACAAGTCCTGTTTGTAACTATTGCGAACAATAGTAAGATGGGATGGCATGGCAAGGCAGTGTGCATTCTCTGTGAAAACACCTTAGGCTCAGTACAAAAGCACCATGTTGTTATCATCACCATGGTAATGTATTTGCCTAGGAGGTACAAGTTCATTCATCCATGAACTACCGGTACCATCTCTAATACTCAGTCTTCATGTAGTAATGGTCAGTCCAGTGAAAGAATATAGCAAGAAATTCTTAGTTTGGATTCTGTAATGTATATCAGTGAGTACCTGTTCCTCAAATCGACATTTTACAATGTGAAGGACAGATTAGGCAGTGAAAGATTTTTTTTTCCAAGTTGGGTGTGATTTTTTTCTGTAATATTTAAGGTTTTATCGTAGATTTGGTCTTAAAATGAGGTAAGTGCTTGCTGTAAAACATGCTTTGATCCAGTAAAGTTAAATTTACACTATATCTTTGAGTTTCACATCCATCTCCTAATCTCTATAAAAAAGAGAGACATGCACCCAGCAGGCCCTCTTTTTGATGGTATAATATACCACATATTATATGTGTTTGTCACTTCTTCGTTTCAGTTTGAAGAGTTCTACAGTGAGAAATTTCCAGGCAGGAAGCTGACATGGTTGCATCACTTATGCACAGGTAAATAATCATAAGTGTCATTTTATACAGTGGGTTCCATCATTATTGTGCTACATAAAAGACTGTACTCATTTGCAAAAGGACTCACAAGGGATTTCAAATCAAGTAAATCCCACACATCACACTTGACACTTGTGCAAACAATACCTCCCATTACTTTGCACTTCATTTACATTGTATAATGTAATTCTTACATTACCATGGCAATTAAATGTTAGCAGTGCACAGATAAAAATTGATGTTCAGAAATTGTTTGATACAGGTGAACTGAAACTAAACTATCTTAAGAAGAGCTACATTGTGACTGCAACTACCTTTCAGATGGCAGTGCTTCTGCTGTTCAACAGCCAGTCTTGTCTACGATACAGTGAATTGTTAGAAAACACACAACTTAGTGAAAAGGAACTACAGAAGACCATTCAATCATTGCTAGATGTCAAGCTAGTGGAAAGCCAGTCACAGGTAAATTTTGAACCATACAAGTCTACAATATGCTCTTTTGAAATAAGACAAGTGGGCTTGGGTTGAATACTAATTATTGATAGACTCTATATCACCTTTATAATGTCGTTTTCATTGTATTTAGACCTTTGCAGATGAAGTTATAGATTTTTGGTGGTATAAAAAGTCAAAAGTTTAACCTTTTCAGTAGTCAAATTAGTAGTCACCGTGAAAGTGGGCCCAGCTACTTTCAGGGTGACAGCCTTTCATTTTCAAGTTGAACCCCATAACAGTGTTGTGGGCAAGACCATCGCCAGACCTTTCACAAGACCAGACACATACCATAAGACTATAAGACCAGTCGCAGGTAAGAGTGAACAATGACAAAAGAATGCTTTTGCTGCATTTCATTGAATAGCTTGAGACTTGAATTCGGCCATGTATCGGTGTTGTGATGGTCTTGTTGTGTCTTGTGAAAGGTCTGGCGACTGTTTCACCTACCAGTACAACACTTTCCCATAACTTTTCACACTTCTTTTGTTCAAATTGTGTTTTGTGTTGTCCCATACATGTATGTGAATCTTAAAAGAGTAGAAAAGGGGGATGTAGAATCTGTTCCCTGTCCATATTCAGCATTTTTTTATGTTATTACTTTTTTTAATTGTGCAGAGTTGTCAGGTTTTTTCTTTGTCTTGCTTTCCTCATGACATGAAAATCAAACACACCATTCTTGCAAAATGAAAATTTGTCCGAAACTGGTAGGCCAGAAATGATAACTGCTCCCAATGGCTGTGTTCAATGTTGGGGACAGCCTGTGAAAGCATGAATTATGAATGACAATAACAGTGAAATCCCATCAGATTAAATTGAAACTTCGCAGATATACTCTTAATGGATGTCTTTGCATACATATCCAGGTTTCAAACATGATTAGTCATGGAAAGTCGAGACCTTGGGTCCCCCCCCAGCCATCAGATGGTCCAGAAACCCTCTGCACTTTCATTGTTTAAGTATTTTATGTTGAACCAGGATGGGAATGTTCAAGATTTCTTCATGTACACACACCCTTATCTCTGCATCTATTACATAGTTCTTGCCATTGTCATAACATTTAGTTGCAGAATGCACAACTTGTGTATGTTATTATCTATGAGCAGGGAATTATGATTTAAATGAAAATCAACTGGATAATATAAATTTGATTATCACAAAAATACTGAGATAGCAAGGAAATAATGGTAGAGTCTGCTGAATGATTGTTTTCTGTTCCTATTCTGACAATTTTTAATATCACAATGCCTGGCTTGGCTGCTTCTAAGTAGAGACAGTGATAGGAAATTTGCCATACTACTACAAGCGAAAGCTCCGATTGGACCAAAGGATCAAGACCACTTCATATTAATTACCCTACAAAATATTGCTGTATTTTTTTGTACATTTAAATAGTAGAAGAAGTAGAAAATATTTTTTCCCACTTACGCATTTTTATTATAATGACTCTAACAGGACTAATGTGTGATTTTTTTATGTAATGTCTGGTTGACTAATGAATTTACATGGAAATTTGATCTCTATTTCCTAGGATAACTTGGAAACCAGTGTTACATGTAGCTACATATTAAATATGGGCTACAGTAATAAAAGAACTAAATTCAAGATCACGACAGCTGTCCAGAAAGATACACCACAGGTAATTTTTTTTTTATCACATACATGTACTTTTCTTTGTCTCATTATTTTTCAGATATATTGATATGTCCATTCTCCTCAGCAATGTTTTCATTGAAGCTTTAAGTAAATAAATTAATATCCAGATTATATGTTGGTTGTAATTGTAGGAGGTTGAGCAGACACATGTTGCTGTGGATGAGGATCGTAAGTTGTATATACAGGCTGCTATTGTACGCATCATGAAAGCGAGGAAACAGCTCAAACATAGTATACTAATTCAAGAGGTAAGTCTGCCTTATTGTTTTAATGGCATGCCACTTCCTAAACAGGTTAAAAGCACTTTGTTTGCTATGGGTCATATGTCTCCTATGACTCAATCTTTTCTGTTAGTCTAACATGCATGTAGCAACAAGTATAGGGTATTTGATGACCTATTTCACCAGATAGTTTAAACGTCAATTAAACGTCATGAACATGGAAAGCTGCTTTGTGGCAGGTTTTTATACCTTAACAACAGTCACCATTGCAAGGAGTTTTTCTTTCCCCCAAAAACACAAATGTAAGTTTAATGAGCTAAGATTGCTGGGGCTCATAATCCCCATCAGAAGCCCCTTTCCCCTGGCACCTCCCTCCCCCTATTTGAAATTTTCAAGTATACATGTACACAATGTATGTACCAGCCACAATAATTTATTTCAATGCCCTCTTGAAAAAGTGTGCACACCCCATGAGAGGGACTGGACATGGTTAGCAATAAAAAATGAATATAAATGGATGAATGAAATAGAAAACCCAGAAGTTAGGATAGCTGAATATTTTGAATTATTTATGTATTTATCGACAAACAGTTTGAAAAGTAGAAGGAAACTTGTGATTTTTTTCAAAGCAAAGCATCGCACTCAGTGATGCGTAATGCATTTATATGCACTGCATATTGTTATTTGACTATATCTTTTCACCTGTTGGTTTCTTGCTGACCATTGATTCTTGTTTGTTATTACAGGTCATAAGTCAAGCCAAGGCAAGGTTCTCTCCAAGTATCAGCATGATCAAGAAGTGTATAGAAATCCTGATAGACAAGCAGTACTTAGAACGCACAGCAGCCTCTGATGAGTATGCGTACATTGCATAGTTACACATTACTTTCTACATACTTGTGTACATGGTTCATTGAAGCCAAACTCTGTGATTTTCTTAGGATTGTACTGACTAGGGCTGTTAGCTGTACAGCAGGGGATTTAGTCCAGCTTTGAAGGCAAATCTGAAAAGCAGACTGACAAAAATATATTCAATTGTAAAATTGAATCTCTATGTGAAAGAAAAATTGGATAAGATGGGAGATTATTGGGGCTCACATTCTGCAAAGATTTATTGTAAAATTGCCAATTTGTAGTCAAATGAGAGCCATATCAGGGTATTATCATTACAACAGTGTACTTTGTTAAATGAGAAGGGTCTGGTCACTGTAAGACAAAATGGTTCCAAACAGCTTTTTGTATCAAATTGGGGTCCTGCATGGTTGCTGTTAATGGCCTGGACCAAAGGCTTTCATCTGCTGCATCAAATCTCACAAAAGCTTGTGCATCTTCAGCAACATTTGGTTCCATAACCTGTGTAGTTGAGGTGTTTCCATGGTGCTTAAGTTACATAATACATAAATTTGTGACTTTTTTTACAAGTTTTGATTGATTACTTTTTCTGGACTTTAATAAGACCATTAATCAGTAATCACTAACTTGAGGGGAAGGCTTCCCAGAACCCCATCATTTTAGCCCCTAGCTTCTGAGGCTCATTTCTGTCACTGCAAAACTAATGCTGTTGGAGTAACAAATACTGTTGAAACCTAAATATCCATTTCACTTGGTAAAATGTATTGTATGTAATTTATATGTGCAATACAGACTGTTTAACTGGCAAATACATTGATCCTAATTGAATTCCTGATTGAAGTCTAAATTCACGTGTGGGGTGCTTGTTGAGTTGTTTTTGTAATAAGTCAAAAGAGTGTCTTCAGGTTTTCTCCTCTTTTTGGGGGGCTGGACATGGCCCATTTTGTACTCTCATTGAAATCAGAGCATGTGTAGACTTGGCGCATGTGGAAGACATTGACTGAAGTGGGCCTGCAAACAGTTGTGGGCATCAGGTCTTCCTTATCTCATCAAAGTCCTCAGCTGCATATAAAAGTAAACAAAAAGCTCCTTATTTGAATTCTGTTTGTAATACGTTTGGTTTGTCACAAACAAGGTAATACACAGCCCTCCCCCAAAGAAAAACCCAACACATCGTACACATATTCTATACAGCACTTTGACCACTATTAAAGGTTGCACGTTGTTGCTACAAAGACCTTGTTGTATGGACGTGTGCAAAACATCAGAAGATGGCATCATCAGGTGTCCTGTTGCATTGACTTCAGGGGCATTTTTGTAAGTCCAATACCGAACTGAAATACATTTCTGATTGGATCAATACCTTAAGTGCATATAGAGAGGATGTGGGGCAGGTGAAATGTGATTTCATCGCATGAATCTTCTTTTTATCATCATACATGTATGTTACTTGACACCACCTTCAGAGGTTATGTATGTATTTACAGAACTGCTCATCTGATCAGATTGAAAAGTAGTCCTTTTGTAGGCAGATATGTGTTCTGTAGAAATGTCATAATGATGCGTGACACAATACACCACCTTAAAACAGACACTCCTGTCTGTGCCAATACATAAATTTACAAACTACCACTGATCAGAATGCAAAGTAATGGGGATGTGTTGTACGATAAAAAAAAATTCATAGCGACATTGTAATGTTGTCTTGATGTGTCGCATGACAAGTCCTTTAATATGCATTCTTTCAAAAGTCAATATTACGTCCCGAACTTCCCCTCCAATTCAATGGAAATTAATTTGTTTCTGGAAAGTGATGTGTTAACCACTTCCTGCTGGGCGACCCATTTTCGAGTACCGAGGCTTTATACATGAAGGCGAGAGCTTGAAACCGAGACAAGAGAACTGGGCCTTGTAACAAAAGACCGTGCAATAGTAGAGATAATCCAACCTTGTTTTGAAACAGTTTGGGATATTTAGAGCAAGCGGATTACCACCGAGGACAAAAGCTCCACCACCGCAGCAATCAGCCACACAGCACCACTGCACGCGAATCTGGCCCCTATTGAAAAGAGGTCAGCAGCGCTCTGTTCCGGTTTTGGGAACAAAAGAATCTTACATAACACTGCACAATCTGGGCTCTTTTTACAAGGCTGCAGGCCTGGCTGAAATATTCAGGAGTGAATGAAGGTCACCTGTCAGCTTAGAGTAGCCACCAAAGAGTCCTTCCTGTGGGTTTAAACTTACATTAAATGAAATGATGAATTTTTGAAGAATTTCGAAAACTGATAATCTTGAAAACTGCCACGTGTGTTTGCACTGCATGAAGTGAAGCACCCGGCAGGAAGTGGTTAATATGTGTAATAATTGATTATTTATATCAAGAAAACACGATCCTTTGGCGTAAAGCATCCCTTTAACCCCTTCTCACCGGGAAGCGGTAAGAGCCGCCATAGAAATTGAGATCCCTCAGCACACTTTTCAGCTATTATTCTCGGCCCACACTCGAGCGAACACAGTGAAAGAAGGGATACCCTGGGTCTTGTATATATGGTGATTGGCCTTTGTGTGTTGCCAAGAAATGAAAAGACCGATTTTGCATCATCATCACCAGCTTCACGATAGTCCTCACTTTGAAAAGAGGCAACGGGAACAATGAGCCTTTTCACTGTGTAAATCAATGGGTGCAGAGCACGCAGGGCCACAAACAGAGAATTTGCGGTTTGGCAGGTTGCCTTCGTGGCCAAGCGAGGCTGGAATTCTCGGAGTCGGCTTTCAGAAAAAAGTCTCGGCATCAAGGGGTTAAAGGCACTCTTTACAGACCAATTTTTACAGAGCTTCAAATCTGTAATAAATTTACAAATTAGCCTGTTTATAGGCTTGTTTTTCAGCACAATGACTTCATCAGGTGTTTTGCATCACCACCTTGAAGGTGCTTTTTTTAGAGGTCATTATCTACAGAGTTTCATAAACATTCTCACATATCATCCTAAATGTCTGTTGAAACCGTTCTGTGTGTTGCCCAAGACTGACATATTTCTAGTTAACAAATGCACAACATAATCAATCTCAGTCATTTAGAGCTTGTACCTATTATCTGAAACGTGGAAAAGCCCCATCATCTCTTTCATGAATACAGACCCCTGTCTTTTCCCGTTTTTTCCATTTTACATTTTTGCCTCTTGCAAATTTGTTACTCTTATCTGAAGGTGAGTGTAGAAATTTCTCATGACAACATCGTCAGGAATCACATGACATAACAAGAGCTATAACTCTGATCAGGATGGAACTTTTTGTTGTATGAAATGACCGGGAAGTGTTATGGATTGTAGCGGTGTTCTCACATGTATCATTTGACTTTTTATGATTGTTTTAAATAATGCATTCTGGTCATTCTTTTTGATATACCTACTGACTAAACATGATGTTTAAAATTGTTTGGTGTAGGCTTTGGTATGTCATGAAGATTTGTACATTCAGGAAACCTGTTATGCCACGGATATGTTGTCATCAAAAGTACCATTTCTGAAACACATTAACAGGTATTCCATTGCCATGAAACAGGCAATGCTGGCCCAATTTGTAGTATTTATAGGGACAGTAACTGAGTCAAATAATGATGTCACCACTGAGTTGCTTTTATGTTTTCAAATGTTTTTCTTCAAATTTCTTTTGATGTATCTACTGAACAAACCAAAGTGTTACTTAGATTTGTTATCAATGATAGTTATGACACATGATAGTGTGTTTTAAATCACATCAAACAGAAAAGTTGCACATACAACGAACACCAGTTGATTTTATACCTCCCACAGTGACATTACTGGTAATGCATGTTAATACAAGTACACTCCAGAGCACATGAACAGCAGAAGTGTAACCCATAGGTAAGCAAGAGTGTTCTTGATCAGACCAGTGGTCTGTGTCATATGGTTTTATCAAGATGGCATTGATTGTCCATGTCGTGATTTATGCAACATTTCCCTGCACAAGTGAATATCAAGAATAAGATGGGACCACAAACTGTGTGTCTCCTACTTTGACATTGTAGGTCACATGACATCCATTTTATTATTACTTCAGTCAACATGTTTTCCACTCTGGACAGCTTACATGTAGTTTCACAAATTTCAGTATCAAAATAGTTACTTGTATAACACGGTCCAAAACACGTCTTGGTTTGCCCCTGTTAAAATCACACAAGTGAATACTCATTTTGCTTTTTTTTTGAGGGGAGGGATATTTGATGCTTGTTTACCTTCAACAGAATTAAATTAGTTTCAACCTAACCTGGAGGAAATACATGGAGTTGTTTCCAGCTTTTCCAATTACTACTCAGTTTACACTTAATTAGTAAATCAGTGTGTTGTAAGGTAAAATTTTTCTTTCAAATCAAAACTATTATGTAAAGAGTAAAGCTTCCTTTCAAAGGGCATAACAAACTGTGAAGAACTTTTTCAGTTCAATTCTAAAGCATTCAAGAAGACAAATCAATGTCATGCATTGTAAAACTTTTTCGAAAAGTTTATTTTGATGATGTCAAAATGTAGTCTTCAACAAAGAAAAATATGCCTCTATAAATCAAAACTGCAAATGAAAACAATCACCTGATCAAATAAAAATGTATGAAGTTGTTTAAAAATGCACAGTGAAAATTCAAGTTTCATACCATTTATCATTTGCATGGCTGCTGCATTATCATTTGCATCCGTTTTATACCAGCAGTTCTTGATAGAGGAGAGTGATGGGAGATTTGACCAATGTTTGTTTGACATTTGAAAGTGCTTTGGGGAAGACAGCAGATATAAAGTCACAGTGACATTACCAAAGTCACAGTGACCTTACCATAGTCACAGTGACCTTACCATATTAACTAATGAAATCAGTAACACTGTTTCTGTTTTCAGAAATGAATAATTAATGTCATCAAATATGTTTGGCTAGCATTTCTCACCATCACGAAAGGACATAGCTCAGTGAAAGAGGATGTTTGCCATAATGTTTGAGATCACATAGTAATTTCCTTTTGATTGGAGAGCAGTAATGAGTTAGCTGCAAGCCTTATGATTCAGCACTATGTAATGCTTGAATTTGCACCTGCATGTATGCATGCCATCAGTGCACTTCAAGAAAATGTGTTTACAAATGGCATAACACAATTCCTTCACTGTATTTATCTGCTACATCATCACATCAATATTTACCAGTAATGAGCAGTTGTAAACGTAATCAGAGTGCGTTAAACTGAGCTCAAGTACATGTGTATGTTGTGAAAGCCTTTGTCATAAGATCATTTTGTATTACAAAAGCTATGAAATAATTTTACAGCATTTCTTGTATCAAAGCTACTCAATTTTGAGAAAAATAAAAAATAAGGTGGTATTAATGCCAAACATTTCCTAACTACCAGTGATGTCTGGTTGTCTGTGGCCTTATGCAACTACATGTATTTTTTAAACAGTGAATTCTGATCACTCCTTAACACAAACCCACTTGGTGCTATTTTTCTGCCCCTTTAAGTGTGTGGTGCACAGGTTGGTTGGTTGTTTTCTTTCTTTTTCTTGCCGAGTGGTAGCACAAACCCCAGAGAGACCTTGTTTTTGGTTTTCCTGCTGAGGCACTCACAATGCCACAATTCAAATGAGGTAAACGTCAAAACCAATCTTTGCTTGGCATGACTTATTTATGGCTTTATTAAGTTTCTTTCAGCATGTACAGTTATCTAATTAAAACTGTGCTCCAGTGTCATATTTACAGTGGTAAAGAAATACACAAACTCACCAGTGGAATAGAGTCACTTGAAGTTTTCAGATCAGTAGTTTCTGATTAATTATTTTAAGGACATTGCACTTTAAATGAATTCCACATTGCTCCAATTCACGATGGAACAACACAGTTAGTCTGCAACATGAAATTGCACAGGCAAGTGTGAAAAAATGGCTGAAAGGTGTTTGAATTTACGTGCAGTGTCGTAGTCCAGACCTCTGAAGCCAATCACAAGACCCAACAAGACAAGATCAACACTAGACCTCCAGTCTAAATTTAAGTCATGAGCTAGTCAGCTGAATGGCAACAGAAACATTCATTTGTTGTTGTTTAGCATGCTACTCAGGGCTAAAGACTGGTTTTGTGAATGGTCCTACGATGTCTCACAACAAAACTGTGCACATGCCAGTTCTAAATGACTCGGATGTCAAATTCCATTCTTGCTTGTTTATATGTACATTTGTTCACCTCCCCTTTCCTACATGTATTCTGTGGGTTACTACCATGATTAGAGAAATTCTGAATATAGATACAATATGCAAGTTCAAAAAAGAGTAATATCAACCCAAAAATGAAAAATCAAGGGAAAGTGTGAGATTTGTCCATCTCCTGAATAAAGTCAACATACATTGTTTACAAAGTTTAACTTTTAAGTGTATGCATATACAATGTACATGTTCTAGCCATCAAACTGATGTGTGCCTGTTCTGTCACCCAGATGTACAATCATTTCTTAGCACATGCAATACTGCCTGGACTTATCCCTCAATTTACCTGTACATGATTGGAATCCGTACTGAGGGGATGGTTTAGATAAAAGAGGCGAGTCAAATTGAGCAGAAAAGGCTTGTACTGCAACGATCAGATTATCATCCTCCATGTGTGAGGGTTTAGAAGTTTTTCAATTCAGTATTAAATTCTGTCCCCCATATTTTTTTCATGTTATTTATACAAAATTTGCACAGATCATCTGGATAGGTATCTCAGGTTTTGTATTGAAATTGGATGAAATCTGAAACATGCATTTTTTTCTATGTATGAAGTACATAATACATATGGAAGTGGGAAGGGTACCAGTCTGTTCCTGTTTCAAACACACTAGATTCTTGGACAGGCCCATTTTTTGGGGGGGGGTGGTTGAATTTGTTTTTCTTTTAACATTACTTTTGCTTGGTGACAAGTAATTTCTTCAATCTTTGTGTTTCACAGGTGACCATAATATCAAGAAACGCAATTTATGTTGGTATCTCTATAAAAAAGTCACTGGAAACTGAGGTCGTGCTCATAAAATTAACCACCAATCAGTGTGTGTGAATACAAATGTTTCAGAATTTAAGGACAGAGAGCATTTAGATCAAGTAAAAAACATATTTAGCATCTAAGCAATGCCTCTACATGTATATCACTGTTCCCGAGTACTTGGCTATATAAAAGGCACACACAACTATGAAAAAAGCTAGTTGTGTTACTAGGAACCGTGTTACAAACCAAAGAAAAAATTTCTCCCACTTGCATCAGTATGAACGAGTGCTTGAGAAAGGACCGCAATTCAGTTTGCCACTGGCTGGAGTATCTTGTAGTTGGTGACCGGTTTTCCGGGGCACATGCTTTTGTTTTTGCTACAAATTCAGTAGAATAATGAATATTGAATGTAAACACAATATTTATTCTATGCATGCAGACTTGTCACATTCATGCTGCTCTATTTCTCCTGCAATGTGTTGCTAAACTGCACTCAAGCATGTGTAATAATATTGGCACATACATGTATGCACATGCTTGGGATTGGTATGTTTACTACCACTTCAAGCATGTTAACTGTTTCCCACGGACATGTAATGCAGTGTCTCACCTGTATGGAATGCCAGAGGCAAAAATTCGGAAGAATTACATCAAGCAGTCTTTTACATCAAGCAATTGGTCATTTATATGAATCAATCGCTCTTTCACATTGATCAGTTATCGGCAGTGTTGTAGTCAAGACCATCACACCACCAGACACAAGACCATGCACATGACCAGTCAAAAGTAACACTGTGATCAATGACAAAGGAATTCTTTTGTTGCAGTTCAGTTGAATAGCTTGTGACTTGAATTCAGGTTGGAGGTCTTAGGTTGATCTTGTGTTGTGCTATGAAGGTGTTAAGCTTTGTTAAACCATTGTACTGCGTTGTAAATGAGCATTTAAATGTCACACCAATTTTGGCATGTGGCAGAACACAGAAAGCACACAAGTGGAACTACAAGTTGAGTCTCATCATTTATTGATCAACATTCTAAAAAAATGAAATTATGATCCATTTTCAAGCTCGTCTCATATTAGATGTACGAACTGAGTTTTGTATTAACCCTAACAGTCCTCAGTCCTCCAACAGGTGAAGGATTGAGGAGTGTTAGGGTTAAAGATTGTGCTTTTCATGTATACAGTTATCAGATTGTGAACTGACATTTGAAATGGCAGAATCTATATACAGTGATCTTAACATGGGGAAAGCAAACCACAAATGCAGGATCAGATGCAACTACCAAAGAAATATAATTTGTCAATACCCACTGGTTAACCACTTCCTGACGGGCGACCCATTTTTGAGTAGCTGGGCTTAATACACGAAGACGGGGAGCAGGTTTCCGGACAAAAGAGTTGGGCCTTGTAACAAAAGACCATGCTCGGCACAAAAGACTGAGCTGATGGGTATAACCGACATTTTTTCACTCTCGATAATGAAGATAATCCACAGTTGTTTTGAAACCTGATACCAGGATTTGGGGCATTTAGAGTTAGCGGATTACCACACGTCAACCAGTTCATATACAAAAGGCCAATATAATAGAGTCCCCTAACATGGCGCACTTCCACTGTCACTTAAGTTTCCTCTCACAGCATTTGCCAAACCTTTTCATTGAAAAACTCAAAACTCATCTGGTTGAAGAACACGTCGAAAGAAAACATTGTTTTCTCTGATTTTATCTGTTCAAATAAATATGGAAGCATCCAAATCGAACGCAGTGTCATTTGTCTTCAGAGCTCAACTATTTCTGTTCATGCCAAAATGCGAATTCTAAATGTAGATCACATCATTTGGAGAAAACGAGGGGAAACCCTCACTCTGTGTTCATAGTGGATAAACTCTTGTGCATGCCAAACAATGTTTTTCAACATTCTTTAAAGTTGATAAATTCTTATACAGCATCATCCCCTCTACTCACCTACCCCTTCACAAGCGTGTAGAAAATTATTCTCATATTTTTGAGCACATTTTGAAAGCGTTCATTTTGCGTGTCAGAAAAAAGTCGGAAAATTGGGACAAACACAAATTTCATCAGAACTTTTAACCAGATACCCAAAATTGAGATATATGAATCAGAATAATAGGAGTTGAAGTTTTACTGATTGTGAAATTTGAGGTAAAATATTGCTCCCGAAAGACACTAGAGGCAAAAATGAAAGTGCACCACATTGGGCCACGCCATATTAGGGTACATCAACTACAGTGTATACAGGCATCACCCATCGCCATGTGCATTTTTTGCCAATGTTTTGATACAAAAATGTTGGTAGTTGGAATTTTGTAACCTTATCTCTTTTGTAAGTGTGGTTTCGCTCCCTAGCCGATTGACTTACCCAAACAAAGATGGTCTTTAATTCCCTTAGCTCTTTGGTGTATGGTGTGGGCTCCCATATTCAATTTAATTACTCAAGAAAGGCATTTGTGTTTTATTGTCGGTCGGGGATGGGTCCACTTAGAAGCAGGGTCCATGTGTAAGATCATCTTCTGCGCTTTGACCCACCAAGCATGACGCATTAATACCTGAACCCCGGAAATGAAAAAATAATTCTTAAACAAGTGTACACATGCTCCATGGAGCAAACAACGAAAATAGCATGTGTTTACACATCCGGTGTCAAGTAGTTAAAAGGGACAACAACTGTGACATTCTACCCCAACCTCATCTAGGGCATGAGGTAAAGCAAGCTAAAGGATGTTTCATGTGCGTTTTCAGTCTCACCTTGATGATAGTAGCTGTAATGTAATGCCATACTAATTACACACAATGGCTTCTTTTATTCTGTTCTCACAAATCAAAATCCTCTATGTAAAGCATATCAACCACCATCATCATTAATGTACCAGCATGGTGACTGTACAGCATAATGCAAGATGTCCCGTATGTTTTAATGTTGCACTGAATAGCTCCATTGCATTCAGCAAATATAGCAAATACATGCACCTACAAACAATATGGCCTTACAAAGGACATGTAACACTCTCAAGCAAGTATCACAACATAAGTGACTTCAATGTTACTTGAATTGATCGGTAGCCATGAGATGAAATATCACTTTCACTAAACTAAATTTCAATGAAGAAGCTTTACATGTACTACTAATGATAAGCCATGGGGTCTGAATACTTAGCATGGAGAGTTATATGATTAGGGTTTGGGTAGTACAGTGGTCAATGTTACTATGGGCAGTGAGCACCACGGAATACTGCCCAGCATTTGGTTTCAGATATTATTATCTCTATCCCTTTTCACAACTTTTGTTTTATTTACAAACATGCAACTCTGCTGTATGCCTCAACACATACATTTATCATATATGTACACTGTTACCTGCCCTGACTGTTACATGAAACAAATGTAGTTTTATTTAGTACAACTGAAATATATACTGTAAATTATCTCTAATTTCAATGGGTGACTGGAGCTAAAACTTAATCACATGGCTAACAAAACCCAAGCAAATTGGGGGATAATGAAAACATTTACATGTACTTGGAGACATGTGGATGGGTATAAACATCTACAGTATTGCTCACTTTCTCAAGCTACTAACCACAATTTCTATCACAGTTGATACCAATATCTATCTACCAGTATTTCCTTGATACTAACGTTAACTTTGATCACATGTTGTGTTTTTGTGTTTTATACCAATTATAACCAAAGAGTTATTAGAATGTAATCCTCATGTGTAGAGAGTGTCCAGAATGTCCATACAGTGTCTTACTTGTGTGATGTATCTGCAGAATGAGGACCAACAACATCATTCCATGCACAACTAAATTTGCTTGAACAGCCGAACTCTTTTTACAAAACGGATGTAAAAGCAGGAAGCAGTTCTGTCCCTTGGCAGCAAATGCTACTGATGTCTGAACAAATGAACATGAAGGTTCAACTACTGAGAGTGCAGTTGTAGGGTTTGATGGACTTTGATCATTTTTGATGGAATGCCCATTTGTGACCAGCTCCAGAAAAATGGGTAATATGGGACTTTTTTCAAAATAAGTTACATACACATTTGAAGTGATTACATTATAAGCTTTAATTTGGTGTATGTTTGAACCCTGTGGCATTTTGCAATCTGGAAATATATTGATTTTTACATAATCCTCATATACACATTAAGAGAAAAGCCTTCAGAGATAAAGCTCTTTAAACAAAAAGCCACACTGCCTAACGTCTTGTAGGAATGGCCCACAAGTCATCTCTGAGTTTTAAAGGACAAGCTGTGCCTTGCACAAGGTTATTTTCCAGCAGTCGCATCTTTCATTTATCAGTTTCTGGTGAATTAGCACTCGGCTTCCTGCTTGCAATCCCTGCAACAAATTAAAAAAAGAAGAATCCAACTGTAGACTAAAACTTTTTAATTCAGATAATATTTTAGTCAGACTACAGGCATTAATACCATTAATTAGGGATCAACCTTGAACAAATTATAATAAACCCTTCCAAAAGATCCTTGTTGAAGGAGAATTTCTCGGATAAGTGCTGAAGTGCGTAAATCAATGCATACTACTATGCTCTTATAAGTAATTTTACAGTTATTTTTGGAATATAAGCCATACAGTGTATAAGCCGCAGCACACAAAAATCAGCAAGTTCAGATTTAAAGTCTGCGTATAAGCCACACCAATGTACAAGCCGCACCACAGTGCTGACAATCCAACCAGGAAGGTCACTGTACTATGTGCTGAAGTGCAGCATGTACAGTATGTCAATGGTTCCACTACTCATGCAATCCTAATCATTCTAAGCAGAGTGTGAACGAGTGCCACCATTAAAAATGAATTTTTAGTCCTCAAAAACTAATAAGGAATCATTTCAAATCTGGTCCAGGATAAGTTGAGGATAAACTGTGGAAGAGTGTTGCTGTGGAATGTTGAAGGCCACTGGAAATTTCCCCACAATCTCCCAAAATAAAGCTATCAGTATTTGTATACACAGTCTCTGACCCCCACTCTGTGGTTTTGGTCAGGCAGGCCATTCAAGGACACCTGTGGTTTTGATGACAGAAGAGCCACTGGCAAAGGACTGCACTCCTTACACAAAGCTTTTTGAAACTTTTCTAACTATCAGTTGGAATAAATATACGTTGACCCTTTCATAAAATATAAAGCTGCTTCAGGGTTTTTCTTCTCCTGGAAAGCTATGGTCTTACTTCAGGCACATACAACTTTATTGTATTTAATATGGCAATGTTACTGCACAAAAGGCATTACCAAGAAGAGATCAGGTACAGGCCCTGCATTTCAATAAATCTTCCTGTGATATCTTTCTTCTCGGCCAAATAATCATGGCATAATATACAGAAAGTTAAACCATATTGTTGCTTTGTATTTTATTACCTCTTGATGTGAAATACTAAAAATCTGTTTTTCCAATCATGATTGGACAATTCTGGCTAGGGAACCTTTAAAAATATTATAGCAAACACTTCCGGTTTTGAATTTAGAAGTGAATGGATATGGAGGTACACGTATAACAGGGGGCACAGGTAACACAACTTGTACATTTAATAAGCAAATGAAGCAAAATAAGCAGAGGGACTGACAAAGTCTGTTAGTTTTTCCAAACAACCATCTGATTCAGTCTACAACAGGTATTGAACACATGACAAAAATCATGGTGTGTTCAGTCAGTCTCTGGAAACTGCAAACCACTTAAGATAGTAACCACCTATAGTAGGTACTGTACTCAGACTACTGCTGGTCTGGGTACTATACCCTAACTTGGCTATGTTGCTTACAAACAACACTCAAAACACACACTGGTATGGGGTTGACAACCACAACAGGTCATGTGAGTTAGTGGGCACAATCAGTCTATTATGGTCTTAGATAGGCTTAACCACTTCCTGCCAGGTTTTCGAGTACCTGGGCTTTATACACAAAGCCGGGGAGCCCGAACCGGACCAAAGAGTTGGGCCTTATAACAAAAGACCGTGCTCAGCACAAAAGATTGAGCTGCTGGGCATTACCGACATTTTTTCACTCTCACTAGTGGAGATAACCCAGCCTTGTTTTGAAACCATATACCATGGTTTGGGGCATTTAGAGCGAACAGATTACCACCGGGTACAACATCACTCCACCACTGCAGCAATGAGCCACACAGCACTGCTGCATGCTAATCTGGCCCCTATTGAAAAGAGGTCTGCGCAATCTGGGCTCTTTTACAAGGCTGCAGGCCTGGCTGAAATACTCAGGTGTCAATGAAGGTCACCTGTCAGCTTAGAGTAGAGCCTAAAGATTACTTCGTGTGGGTACAAACGTCTATTAAATGAAATGATGAATTTTTGAAAATGACACCTATATGTGCACTGCATTTTCAAAGCACCCGGCAGCAAGTGGTTAAAATAACTTGTGACTTGACACACAGTTCATAGCAGAAGTTTCTATTGCAAAAAGCTGCTAGACCCAATGATTTTAAAGGCATAAACAGTACTGAACATACCTGCTGGGCGAAGTACTAGGAAATTGAGTAAGTCAGATAATGATACAATCCCCACAACATGATTCTCACCATCCACTACAACCAGACGATGAACCTTTATCATACAAAAAAAATCCAAAATAAGAAAAAGAGTCAAAATGGAGTTGAAAGTTTTGACCTTCTTACTATTTCTGAGCTTCAGAAACCACACATTCCTTACTGTGCTGTCTGATGTTTGCAGTAGCAGATGGTTGCAGTAGTTTGCACTAATATTTAAATTTATTAACATTCAATATGCACCATCAAATCATTGTTATTTTTAAAATGCCCCAAGTGAAATTGAACTTTTTATCAAACACAGATTGTTTATGGATAAAAGAATCCAATTACTAGTAGTGTGCAAATTAAATGCTTCATAGACATATTAAAAACAACTGTGACATGGTCAGTACCAATGAGGATTTTGTTGTTGCCTATCAATGCATTTTTGGGGTCATTTAGGACAATGTGAGGCACTTTTAGGAGTTACAGAAATCTATTGTAACAGCTGTTAAAGTTAGTGGACACCATTGGTACAATCCCGAAAATCGGGATTATACTACTGTATAATCCTGAAATATCTTACTTGAAAGTACACAACAGTCTCAATCAGTCTCTCAAATATTTCCACCCAGAATACTGCAGTTTTCAAGAAAACAAAAGTTTTGTTCTCTTTTTTTACTACGCCATGGGTCAGCTGACCATCATAAAAGAGTCAATTTCATTTCGCACATCACATCCTTTAACAGGCGCCAAGTTTCTTATGTGTAGTGTTTGCAGGTGTTGTGGGAGTCTCCATTGATGAATAAATAAACCTAAAAGAAGCTAAAAATATACCGACATAAACTCAACGAAAGCATTGTGAACTGAAATTATAGAAACCTGAGTGTTAGACATAAAGTAGAAAATAAATTGGATCAGTGTGAAGTTAAATTTTATTTAAGGAAAGGGTTTTTCTACGGGGAACTTTGCGAATTCAAAATCACCCCTAGAGCATAAGGGTTTGATTCAATATGGCAGCTGTTTCTGAGTATGATGATTTTCAACAACAAAAAGTACATTTCCCCACTTTAAACCTCACTTGTTTAAAGACACAATTTCTTGTTTGCTTACGATTATTAATGAATCAACCGAGAATGGAGTTTTAGACTTTCATCGACGTGTAAACTGACATAAAAGTGAGATCATAAGCATGAACGTGCGCGCGCACACGTGCAATATCATATAGGCCTACTCGTTCTGTGGTGTCATGGACATGAGTCAACTGCTGCGTTCCTACAATGCTACATTGCTGAGTAGGCTCATTACTCCAAGGTAAATTCACTGATTACTTCTAGCCGGCCCTTGAAAACTGCCCTTTTTTAAGGGAATGAGAACCTGTCACCCTTACCCGGCGGACGTTGTTCACTTGTACTCTGAACGCCCTATAATCCATAGATTTTATGGAAGATAAATTTACCTTCGATTTAAGTGTTGAAAATGCCGCTTTTTTTTCTAAATTTTTTTACAAAGCAGTTGACTAAAACGTGAAACAAGTGAGTGGAATGTAAGTTGCAGTGAGTATTATACACCGTAATAAGCAAATCTTGTGAAATTACGACAAAAAGCCAATGGTGTCCACTACCTGTAGGGAATATTTCTTCACTGATGACATTTTAAAATAAGGCATACCAATACTGCGACAAGCAATGTCATTTATATCTAGTGCATGCTCACATAAAGTAAAATAAGAAAAAACTGGCTGCATCACAGGACTACACGACAAATGCCAGTAAGTTAACCCCTTCTCATCGGGAAGCGGGAAGAGACGCAGTAAAATTTGAGATCCTTTCCAGCTATTATTCTCAGCCCATGCTCAAGCGAACTTGGTGAAAGAAGGCACACCCTGGCTCTTGTGTATATGGTAATTGGTC